TTTTCCCATTATATGCGCCTCCATCTGATCACCTGTTGAATGATAGTTAATTGTTGCACTCTGAGCACTTTTGTTTCCCGTATCAATGAGTCTGATTTTTGGTGCCTCGCTCAGCAGCAGCTCACTATCCACTCTCCACTATGACGAGGTTCACGCTCATACTTGTAAGAATTAGGTGTGAGTGAGTGCGAGCAGCTGCAACTGCTCTCCTCCACTCTTTGTATTCATCACAGCTCATATTTCTGCCTCAGCGGTTTTATCAGATCAATATTTATCATCACAAGCGGTGATCTCTGACCACCATCAAATTGATCTAATGGCAGTTACACTGTTTACCTGGTGCTTTGTTTTGGTATTTTTCCTCTGCCTCTCCCGCTGCCCTCATTCCCTCTCACTCCATCTTACCTGCTCCTTCTCTCCAATCCACTCAGTCTTTGTCTCGCTCTCATCGTCTATCATTATGTTTCATACGCTGGTAATCGCATCACCGCTACGGGCTCGTATTTTGGCAGGTCACACTGCCTTTCTGTTAACGGTGGCGACATGCACAATTACATTAGCGAGAGGGAGAGGTGTGCACGCGTGCAGAAAGCGCTTAGCTCAGCTGCATTAAGACACGAGTTCGTCTCAAGGGTGTGTGAATGAATCCAGGAACAGTAAACAAACTGTACTGTACTCAATCTCCCAATTACATGATGAAGTGGACCTGAAGAGTACTTTGTCAGAGGAGCTGTTTTTCAGAACTGCCTGCTAATTAGCTGCTCTGCTGCTGCATGCAATACTGCAATTAAAACTAACTGCAGAGTCACTTACATGTTGGTCCTTTAGTGGTCAGTACCACTGCTAATGACACTGTTCACCCGTCACCTGTACAGTAATGTGAAGCCATTAAATATGTGGAAAAGAAACAGAAGCAAAATGTTTTGCCTCTGTTCATATCAAAGATTAATTTTAAATAAATCACAACACCCTTTGTGGCACTTTAATATTTTTGATGTTGGATTGTTTGGTGTTTTAACACGTAAAAGGTGCTGTATGTGTTAGTGTGTATATCTTCCAACAAATTTATGCATTCTCTTGTGCTTAATTTGTCCATTTAAAAACACACAGGAGCAGGTTTCCGGTAGCTGCCACGCTGCGCCGCCATCTTGAATACAATGGCTGAGAAAGACGTCGCCTAATTGCATTTTATGTAGTAATCTAGAGAACGACCACATCTGTAGCGTGGCTCATAAGTTACTTTTACATCAAAGATCACAAATAGCTGAATACTCTGCTATAACCAGAGATGGGCAGTAACGGGCTACTGTAATCAGATTGCTTTTTTTCAAGTAATGAGTAATGTAAGGGATTACTATTGTAAAAGAAGTAATTGGATTACTGTTACTTTCCCGTAAGCACGCTGCGTACTTAAAGTGTGGACGTAATCACATTACTTTGAGTTTGAATCTGTAAAAAGTGACAAAAACATTAGCGTCCGCTGTTCACTCTGCGTGGGAAGAAAACTTCTTTCTACAGCGAAAAGTTAAACTTCTAATCTGAGCGAGCACGCTGCCACGGGAACGTGACATTCACAGAGAAACCCCCGGATCCCCCCCACTGACATGACCGCTGTGGGCAAACCTCCACCCGTCCCACTCCTGCTAAACAGGTGACAATAGATTTAAGAGCTGCTGAGTCTTTGATTTTATTTATTTCTGCTGTGTTTTACTTTCATCTATTTGAAAGAGTTTCAACACAAAACATTATTTTATTTTATATGCAGACAGTAGATTTAAATGTTAAACAATTTCATCAAGTCAAAGACTGTTAC